TTTTTTTTTTTTTTTTTTTTTTTTTTTCAGATTGTTTGTCCTCGTTTTTTTTTGTTTTTTTCTTTTCTTTCGTTTTTTTATGTTTTTTTTCTTTTCTTTCGTTTTTGCTGTTGTGTACTACCGGTTGCCCGAGGCTCGGCAATGAAGTCGATGGTTGGCAAGGACCGGCCTACCGGTAGCCTGAGCCACGGGCCTTGACAACAGGTAGGTACTGGTGGATTCATATTTGTGTGAATGGATTTATATGCCTCCAGTTGCTGTTCCATGCAAACGAAGTGGGGAATGCATAGACTTCGCAATTGAGAGTAACGGAGGAGGGGAAGGAGCAAGGGAAGTGGGGAGCAACCACCCCCCTCCACACAGTGCTTTCCTCTTCCTTCACACCCCTCTGCCTCGCTTCCCTTGTGGGCTCCACAAATGCGCCCCCTTTTGCTCCTCACGGGCAGCTTGCGTGCTCATTGAGTATCATTTTCTTTTCGAAAAGGAAAGGTGGAGGCCTGGGCATAGCCGCCATAACCTTCTTGGCAGGCGTTCCTGAACCCCGACAGAGGTCAGCAGGCCTGCAGGAATGACAGCCTGGCATCAAAAGCGAAAAAGCAAAAAGGGACGAAAATTGGGCGGGCCCACTCACCACAAACGGTGGGCCGTCCAAGACGCGACAAAACCACCCTTGACTAACGGGCCTAGCTCAGTTGGTACACCCATGAACTGTTGAGAGAAAAAGAAAAGCGAAGAAAAAACAAACCACCCTTGCCGGTGTGCCGTTGTCCCACGGCTCCACCACTCAGCAAATGTGAAAACGACAAAACATTTGCAAATGCATTTCGCCACTTCCTCGGCAAGTATACATATACACGAAACATTTCACAGAATTTCACAGATTGGGATAGCAGCAGCTCAGCAGGGTTGTACCGTACCGGAAACAGCGGCTTGCGGAAACAACAGAAAGCCCGCGCCTGCCCGCCGTTTCACTTGAGCAACGTTGCGCGGGCCATCGCGAACTACGCGACAGGCCTGTGGAAATTTGGGAGGGCCGAACGGAGCGGGGCAAGTCTGCAACGACTGAAAACCAAACTGTTCAATTTTGTAGATGCAGATCTCCCGCTGCCGCCGGGATCCGTATTTCACTATCAGCGTGAGCGCCACCACATTTGACAGAGTCCGAAGGCGCGGAATTGTCGAACAATCGTTGTCGAATCGAATTGCTTCGATAGCCCTGACTGTGGAGTTGATTGCTCCTAACGGAGCAAACGATCCATCAATCGAGCGAGACAAAAGAACTCCCGCTCGCGAGGTAGAGCCAGCGACGGTAGCGTTAAGAGAGAGAGCGCTGGCGCCTGTCTTGGCTGTTGTTTGTATTTGTGTTTGCATCTGTGTGTGATTAAGAGGGAGAGAGAGAGAGAGAGAGAGAGAGAGAGAGAGAGAGAGAGAGAGAGAGAGAGAGAGAG